GAAAGCAATCCTGAGTGGTAGAGGCCATGCTTTGAATGTCTGGGAGGTAAAGCTCAGCATTCACATCTCATTATTTGTAAGATGGAATCCTGACAATATGAACCTATGATTATCTCCAACAGTAATTTCCAATGAGCAGAATCCTCTTTGTTTCTCCCTTCCCTGCTCTGGCTCATTGCCTATGCAGTTGTTCTATTGCCAACATTTGTGTATGGCAGTATCCAGTCCTTCCTTGGGCTGCCTGCAGAAGTCCTGTTTTATACAGCAGGGTGACTTGTCATTCATGCACGTACAAGCCAGTTTTGCATCACATGTCTCAACAGGCTTCTGCCCCTTGTTTTCAGGGCACTTGACATTTCTAAAGCAAGCATGCACAGGACTGCATCCACAAGGGAGAAGGAGACATTATAAGCAGCCCAATAGTGGAAGAGGAGATCCTTAAGGGCTAACCGTGTGAGAGTGTCATATCAGGAACTGCTCTCACCTGCAATGTGCTCTTGTTTTGTGGCTGGTCTTCAGAGCAAAAGCACAAGGATCCTCTGAAGTCGCATTTCTCAGTCAGAAAAAGCAGCATCCACCTCTGCTCTGCATCCCTAAATGTGCTTTCAGGTTGGGTTACAGGGTCTCTCTCAGCTGCATCTGTTTGACGTCAACCCACTCCATACACACTTGAACACAGGAGGCATTACCTCTGAGTCACCATTCATGGGACCACATTTTCAGGGTGTAATCTTTCTTACACTGGCTTGGGAACATGTCATGGTGGCATTTGCTTTTGAGTCAATAAACACAAAATTAAGGGCTGACATCTAAAACATGGATTAATTCTTTTGAAAACAGGGGATTTTTGAGCTATTGTAGTTAACAGTATTGTGTTACAAGTCAGAACTGTTGTTGCATCCTTCAGATAGAAGGACTTGACATGCGGGATCCATGCCGTTCAGAATTCTAGTGAACTTTCTATGGTATTCTCCCTTCTTACGAATCTTGAGGTTCTGCTGGAAAACCAATCAACTCAACTCACTAGACAGTGGAGGGCAAGCTACATGAACACTCAATGCTTGGAAAAGGAGTGGTGGTTTATAAAGTGGCGGGATGCAGAACTGCCTTCTTTTAAAGGCATTAAAAAAAAAAGAGGTATTCTTTCCTTTCGTCTTCCAGGCCAATGGGCTCGCAATTTCCAAAAAATGGAAATTGCGTCCAAGTAAAGCCATAATTTGGTTCTCCTTTTCTCATGAACTACATCGTCTCTCTGAATCCCTTACAATGTTTTAGGGCTCCAGGATCATCAGTTTTGTCCATTAGGGACCCACAGTAGGTTGTATCGAAGGCCATGTCTTCTTACCAGAATGTGATTGTGTCTTTTAACACTGGAAGTGATGGGAAGTTTGATTGTGGGTTTGAAAAAAACATAAAAAATAGCTTCCTCACAAGACTTGCTTCAGGTATGGACCACTTTCAGAAGTCCAGGGGCTGTATAAACCTACATATGGGTCTAAGAAGGCTACCTCTTGTGTTCTACCACCTATTTGCAACCCTTTAACATTTTTTAACTTAGAAAGTCCCCTTGGGTGGTGGAGCAATTTCTCCTGGCTTTTGACACACCCTCCCAAGCTGTAGTAGTCAGGCTCACAGGGCGCATTTGATGCACCCCTCTTTTAGAGGCGCTTCACTGCTCCAAGAGGTGAGATTCATTCTTTCTTTCTTTTAGCTGACCATTTTTGCACAGTCACGGTGAACCAAGGAGGCTTCAGGAAGGCTGTGATAGCCACAAAAGCAGTCTCAGATGGCATAATTCCTATGCCTGCCTGAAAGCCATGAACATTTGCTTATTTCTGAATTGCCTGCCGTGATCAAAAGCCATTTTTGAATGGGTGCTGTTTCTGAAGTCCCTGACGGGGAACACCATATGCCTAAAACCCATGGGGAGCCAACTGATGGAGAGTGCATTAGGGAGCATTAAGGGATCCCTTGCCTGTTCCTTCTAAAATTTGAGCATCAAGCCAGGTGCGCGTGCTTGGGTTGTAATCCTAAGCATGCTTACCTGAGCCTCACTGAGTTCTTAGACATGCATAGGATTGTGTGAAAGCTTTCTCAACACAGAACAATGCAGTATAGGTTTCAACTACGTAGGTAGCAGCCCTGCGTACAAGACAAAGAGATTTTACATAAACCGTAGGCTGGAATTCTACTCTTCAGTTGCGCTGGAGAGAATGACGCTCATCAATGAATCACCACTCCTGTCACTCATGGCATGCCAGTCATGTGAGCTGGTGCGCAAAACATGATACAAGCGGCAACTCATTGACTACTAGTTGCTTACTGGTACGATGTACATTGTACACCAAAGCGAATAACCAACAGTTTTCTGGCCAGTTTGTGTGTTTTTTAACACCACCACCATTGCCAATTTAATGTATTTGTTAGTGACTCTCAATTTAACATATCCTAGTAAGGATTAATGCTTATGAAACAGGATTTCAGTTGTTAGCGATGAGATCCTTTGTGACCCCCACCACAGTAAATTCCTTCGAGGCTCTTAACGTCTCACAGACACCCCCTCCCCGATATATTATTCATACACTTTCCCATCAGCTCAAAATTTCTTGAAGGTGTTAAATTAAAAGGAAAAAAAACTTGTTTACTGTTCCTTGTCATAAATAATGCATCAGCGTTTAAAAAGTAGCTGTTGTGTTGTTTGGGAAGACTTGTTGGCACATAAGGCTTGTTTGAACCTGATAATTGAATATTCACTGTTGCATTTTCTCCCTTTCCTCTTAACTGATCCTCTTGCCCTGAAAGTAAAAGCTGCAAATTAAAATAAACAAGACAGAACAATCACACCCTTGACTGTAGGAGAACTTATGTGAGACAGATGCGGGGGCTGTGGCATGACATTTTTTTGTGGTTGTCTTGCTTTGGAATCACTTACCATCCGGAATGTCTTAAATGGTTAAATAGTGTTCACAGAAACCCAAATTCTACTATCAGTTATTTTGGCATAATACCGATCACAGGCAGCTTTTAGAGGGGAAAACACCATCTTTCTTAACCAGCCCCATGCCGCAAAAATATAATTCGGGATGAAGTAAGGACTAGCAGGAATTATGTCAATGTGCTGCATTAGGAATTAGGAACAGTGCCCCCCCTTTTTTATCTTGTATCTTCTTTTGTATCCTGATGCGATCAAGAAGAGTAATTAATAGGCAGTCAAATTTCACTTGTGCATTAGGAAAAATTGCACCTTATACATCATGTGGCCCATGGATTAAATGAGAACATTTTTGGAACCAATATTTTACAGACAGACAGACAGACAGACAGACAGACAGACAGACAGACACACACACACACACACACACACACACGTCACAGAACACAACACAACACAAAAGGGAACCCAGTTTGATTGCATCTGAGGAGGCTTCTTCCAAGAATTATTTGCTTTAAGAGAAATTTCCTTTGCTGTCCTTGTACCTCCATTATCTCTTTCTTTCAGATAGAAAGAGAGTCACATGACATGACAGAACCCACAGCAGAAGCAGCTGTCCCGCCATTGTTTTCTCCTCAAAATGGCTGCCTTCTGTTTGGAGGTCATGTCATGGACTCTTGAGCCATTTGATGACAAAGGTGCACGCCCACTGCATCCTCCATTAGGAAGAAAAGCAGATCGCTCCATGACCTGCAGAGTTTGGACGTAACCTGTTCTGGGCCTGCTGGTCAGGGAGGTTTCCGATTTCTTTGGGGATTTGAGAAACGTCTGAGTCCATATTTCTATGAAATCTTGACTGCAGAAAAACATCGAGACTTGGAATAGTCACATGACAGTCCCCACAGCAGGGCTGCTGAGAGCAGCCTTTCTGTGGAGAAAGAATCTAATTGTTTACAATTGCAAAGTAGGGTGTGTTAAGTGACACTCAGCTGGAAACTGTGAAGAGTCATGCTTTCATGGGGATAGACATTCAATCTAGTGTTGGTTGACTTTATCTTCTCCCACCAGCTTACATCAGAATCCTGTACGATTGGACCTTTGGCTGGTCAAAAAAAAAGCTATTTATTGATTGATCTTAGTACCGTATATTATCAGCCAATGATCAATTTTACAGTAAAGCTTTAACTCCATTCATTTTAACTTTGTGAGAAGGTCAAAAACGGACCTGCTGCAGTCCAACATCCAGTAGGAGCGGGACAACAAGAAATTGTTATTTTGCTCAGGTACTCCACCAATTGTTAACACTACCATTTACCTTAGCTTTTAATGAACTGTTTTTATGGATTTTTTGTGGAATTTCATGTTTTAAGCCATCCATTTCCGTGGACAGAATCCTATCACATGTGCGTGGCATAAATCCAACATTGCATAATTGGTGTGTAGTTGTTCCAGCTATCTGTTCCACACCCAGACATTTACGGGTGAGTCACTCAGTTGTGTGACAGATGGCCAGAAAAACTGCAAAAAATATTTGCA